GCCTTAAACAATTAGAAAAAATACTTTCCGTAAAACGACTCCCTTTATGATGTTTGCTTTGTGCATTTAAGTTAGCTTTCCTCTACCCCAAACAAAGAGGCTAACCTTCCTGATACTGTCTATCAAAGTATCCATTGGTTTGTTCATCAATACCGTCAGAAGCTGAGTTTTTCAGTGATTTTCTTTGGCTGCCTTTTCTGATCACTGATTTTCAATGTGTTCTTGGCTAAGCCGTTCCAGGTCTTTCCTCACGTTGGGGTGGTCTTCCAAATCTTCGTAGAGTGAGGAGACAATGTCCAGTCTTCTGTAGTTCTCGGGACTGACTAGGCTTCGCACAACTTGAAGGCACCGCTCTTTCAGCGTGTATACTGGCAGCGTGATGTTGGCAAAGGCAGGCCGCCCGTCAACACTGAGAGATGGCACAAATAACTCAGTTTGGTTAACCAGGAGTCTGTCGTTTGTCCTGGCGTCCCTGAAGAGCCAAGGGTGACCTCGGTAGCTGTTGATTCGGAGGCTGGCTCCTGGCAGCAGCGTCTGGAAGGGCTGTGGTTCGCCTTGGAAGTCGAGCCACAGGGGCTGAGCCACGCGCGGGCTGCGGTTCCAGACCACTACACGGGAAAGGTCGCGCGGGTTTACTCTCACTGAGCGCAGCTCGGGAGGCGCCCGCCCTGCAGCCATGGGTTTCCTGAGGTCTTCCGGGTCCAGCTCCAAGGCGAAGTCAGCTCTGGAATCCCGCAGCCCAGGACTCCCCAGAGGAGGACTCAACAGTAGCCGCCACAGTGCATCCGAGGTTCTTCACGTCTCAACTCTTTGTTGCTCTGACCGGTTCTTCGGGTCCCTGCCCATCACCCCAGGAAGTGCAGGCTGGGAAGGTGCAGGCCACTCTAAGTACTGGCTTTCAGTTAGGTAGATTTAATTTTAGCATGACTTGGGACCTTGCCAGAAAAAACAGAACGAACTTGGTGCGCTCTCTCTCTCTCTCAACTGCTGTGGATAAAAAAAAAAATTACTCATTTGAACAAATATGTATTCAATACTTGACATCCCCGCCCCCGCAACATTGGGACCTGCCAGAAACCATTGACAGCCCTCCTTTATGTCTAACATCACACACGTTCATATATATATTTTCATCTTGGGGGTTAAAACTGGACCTTTTATTGAGAAAGGGTCTTCCTAGGTACCTGTGCATGACCCAGTACTCACTACTTAACTCAGGATGGCCTTGAACTGCAGACAATCCACCTGCCCCAGCCTTTGATGTGCTGAGACCACAGGCACCACTAAAAATTGGATGTTTTAGATAATATGCAGCAATTCTCCATTGTAATCAATCTTCATCTAATGGATGGCAACCACTGATATTTTAGGCTTATTTGTTGAATTTCTCTTGTGGGTAAATTTTACGAAATTTTTTTCTTTGCTGTGTGTAGCTATTGATATCTCTACTTAGGGATAACTCAACTTTTAAACATCATTTTATATTTTTATTATTGAAAATTGAGCCTAGGAACCCAAGTATGCTAAGCATGTGTTCTGTCTATCACTGGGCTACACCCTCAATTTTTATTATTTATTCTGATACAGAGTCTCTTACAGACATGAACCACCATGACAAACCCAAATTATGTTTTTGAGGTGGGCTTCTTATGTATTTCCCCAGGGAAAGAAAAGCTAATTTTGGTCAGCCAGTGGTTGGTTGGAGGTTTTGTGCTTAAACTCTTAGAACCAGTATGATTTCACCCTTTTCTGACAGATTTATGTGTAACTTGGGAAATACTTTCCAAGTTCAGGCAGCTTACAAATCTACATTGGCTTTTATTTTCTATCTGGTGTTCAGCAAGATAAACAGCACAAGGGGCTCTGTATTTGGCCGTTTCAGACACCAGAGATACTCTGAGTTGGACTAAGGTTTTGGTTGACTTACTGTTTCGAACTTGCTGTTACATGTCTGGCTGACTTGCCAGTCAGTTACTTGATCAAAACAACACTGCAACCTCAGAGCAGCTACATTGCCCACATTTCCTAGTTGTTCCCATTGAGGTGTTGGTGCTTTTGATAACCTCGAAATATGTATTATTCTTTTTTTCTGCCTGCTCCAAATAAAAACAGTTCCATCCTCACCAGAACTTCTGATCCCTGTGGCCTGCCTGAATAACCTGGTTTCACAATATATGTGGAGGCTTGTTGGGACCAGCTCCAGACTAACATGTCTCAGACTGTTCTTTCTCAGGTTCAGTAATTTTTTTTGAATAAGTAGAATTTATTGCATGTTTTTTGGCTAATTTCCAGTGTCTTGAAATGGTGCGTTTCATTTAGTTTAGATTTATTGGTGATTTTCAGGGAGATTTCCCAAGCTTCTGACCCAACCATTCTGTCTCCACTGAATTTAAAAAAATATTTTTTTAAATTACAAGTATATGTGTGTATGTATGCAAATAGGTATGTGCATGTGCAGGTGCTTAGAGGACAGAGGTGTCAGATTCCCTGGACCTGGGTTGTGAGCCTTTTGATATGGGTGTTGGATCTTCTGCAGGAGCAGTACATTCTCTTAGACATCTCTCTCAATCCGTTTTTTTTCTCCCAGTTCTGAGAATTGAACTAAGAGCCTCACACATGTTAGGCAAAGGTATATCCCAAGTCCTCTGCTTCCACTGAATGTTAACTGCACCATCAGTAAATAAGAATTCAGAGGTCAGGAGAAATGGCTCAGTGCTTAAGATACTTATTGTTTTTGCCAAGGACTGGGGTTTCGATCCTAGTAGCCATCCATGGTGGCTCACAATGGCCTGAAATTCTACCTCCAGGGGATGCAAGTCTCTGTGAGTGTATGTAACTAGGTATGTGCACATGCAGGTGCTTACAGAGACCAGAGAGCTCAGATTCCCTGGACCTGGGTTTGTGAGTCTTCTGATGTGGGTGTTGGATCTTCTTCTGCAAGAGCAGTGAACCTGGCCTCTGCATGCACTTACACACACTTGACCATACACACACAGACAAATATACATAAGTAAAAACAAAATAAATCATAAAGAATTCACCGTAGGTTTTAAAAGAAACATTTATTCATTAGGTGCATGTTTGAAATTTATTTGTTCTTATTTTATGTTTATGAGCACTGACTGAATGTATATAAATGCACCATGTGAGTGCCTGGTGCCTGGGGAAGCCAAAAGAGGATGCAGATCCCATAGAACTGAAGACAGTTTTAAACCAGTAGTGGGTTCTTGGAACTGGACCAGGGTTCTTCTGCATGAGCATCCGGTGCTCTTATCTGCTGAGCCATTTCTCCAGTCCCCACAGCAGATTTTATATTGAGTTTGCTTTGCATTCCTAGAGCATCATTCACTTTCAAAGCACTGACAAATTCCCTTATAAACCTTTATTCCTGGAGAGGAAGAAGGCTCTTCTCTAGAGAAGACTTACTGGGTGGGTTGACTTCATCTGGGATATTCTATCAGCTTAGAGTAGGATAGGAGGTTCAAGGATTTCTATGCTTCTTGTTCCATCTCCTTAACCCACAAAATTCCTGAAATTGAAATACTACTTTATCTGTTTTCTTTTTTTTTCTTTAGTATAGAAAACAAGATGAGGAAGAGTTATGACCCAGAACAAGAGTACCCCTCTGATTTTTTGCCAATCGGCAAGGATGTCAGTCTCAAGAAGAACTCCTTCCCAAGGTCACCAGTGAGGACATCTGGGTCTCTAGACTAGTTCTGTCTCGGGTTTGACCCTGGAAAGAATCCCATGTAAGAACGGACAAGGGGAGGGAGAGAGATCAAATTCTAATGTTTCTCACATTTCTAAAAGCAGTACCAATTCTCTGAATGCTCTTGTCTTTGAGTAGGAAAGTCTCTGGGTTAGGGGTTTTTTTTTGGTTTGTTTTTTGTTTGCTTGTTTCTTTTTTTAAAAATGGGATTTTTCCTGGCTTCTTTCTAGTTATACAGTGGAGAAGATTCCAGATTTGTGTTAAAGTGGCACATACCTTTAATCTCAGCACATGGGAGACAGAGGCAGGTGAATATGTGCAAGTTTGAGGCCAGCTTGGTCTACATAGTGAATTCCTGGCTAACCATAGCTACATAGTGAGACCCTGCCTTGAAAAAAACTAAAAATAAAACTGACAACAAACCCCCACAAACCTTATAATAAAGTATAGTGTAATGGTAAAGATAACTAGGAAAAATGCATACAGAGGATTGGGAATCTATAAACAAAAGGAAGGCAATTAAAAACTGAGTGGAAAAGAAAACAAACATAAGGAGATGAATATTAACTACATTTTGAATGTGAATTAAAGATACCTCCTTTTTCTCTGTCTGTCTGTCCATCTGTCTGTCTGTCTTTAACTCTCTCCCTCTCGCCCCCTCTTTTTCCACCCTAGACAAATGTGAATAAACTCTTAGAAAGGGCACTAAAGGTAGGACAAATAAATCATTCCATTCAAGTCCAACATGGTCATCTATTGAGTTTACTGTGGCTACTTATAGAGCATGAGTGATGTATTACAGCTGTAGCTTTATACTGAAAAGCCTCACTTAAGCATGGATGAGGACACATGTCAGTTGTCTCACTGGGGTCAGGTGTATAAGTTGCTCGTAGCTAGGTCTCTGGAGAGGATTCTCTCTTCCAATTGTTTACTGGTTATGTCAGCTCAAGGAGGAATTACTAGAGTCCTAAAAGTTTCATGAGCTTCCTGGGGTTTGTAAATTTTTTTTGCTTCTGAATTTCTTGAACCCAATGAGTTGTCCCCTTGATCAGTCCAGGTAGGAATGCTTAATTTTGGAAGGAACACCTAGCACTTTTCCTTTTCCTAATCTCTTCTGCTTCTGCTTCTCTACTTTTCACTAGCCCATCTCGCTATAACCTGTCACTCACCTGGTCCACTGTTGTGGCTTGGTTGGTATGAAAGAGTAAGTGGACTTGGAAATTAAGTTTTTTTTTTTTTTTTAAATAAAGGCTCAAATTCATTTTAATTTAGAAAGAACGCTATTTCTCCCTCAGCTCTCCCCAGAGGCCCCATCCTTCCCCAGCAGCCTCCAGAATGCTCTCTTGACCTCCTTGTTCCTCAGGGTATATACAAGAGGGTTAAGAGAAGGCATGCCCACTGCATAGAAGAGCCCAAAGAACTTGCCCCTCTCTTGGGCATAGGGATTTTTGGGCTGCAGATAGACAGCAATGACTGAGCTATAGAAGAGGGTGACCACGATGAGGTGGGAGGAGCAGGTCCCGAAAGCTTTCCTGCGTCCCTTTGCAGAGTTTATCCTCATTACTGCCCTGGCGATAGCACCATAAGAGACAAGGATGAGACCCAGAGGAACAACCACAATGAAGATACTAGCAATAGCCATCTGGATCTCATTATAGGTGGTATCCCCACAGGAGAGTCGAATTAGAGATGGAACTTCACATAGAAAGTCATCTATCTGCCTATGCGGACAGAAGGGCAGGCGGAGGGTGGGAGGTGTTTGAATTATGGATTGGACCAAACCTATAGCCCAGGCCACAGCTGCCAGCTGCCAGCACAGGCGGGGGTGGATGATGGTGGCATAGTGCAGGGGCTGGCAGACTGCCACATAGCGGTCAAAGGCCATCACTGTCAGGAGAATGCACTCGGTGGTCCCCAAGGACATGAAGATGAAGAGCTGGACAGAGCATCCCAGGAAGCTGATGGTCTTTGTGGGTCCCCAGAGGTTGACCAGCATCTGGGGCACACAGGTTGTGGTGAAGCAGAGGTCCAAGAAGGAGAGGTTAGAGAGGAAGAAGTACATTGGAGAGTGGAGCCTGGGGTCCAGTGTGGACAGCAGGAGGATGAGTGTGTTTCCTAGGAGTGTGAGGAGGTAGGAACACAAGACAACCACAAAGAGAATCTTTTCCAGGCGTGGGTGTTCAGAGAAGCCCAGCAGGAGGAAGCCCGCTGGGGAGCTGTGGTTGACCATGGCCTTTTGTGTCTGGTTGGAGGAATGAAGCTGTCAGACAGTGTGTTTCAATTTGTTTTGTAAGCTCACTTGTCAGTACACTTGATGCTTCTCTTCTGCCTCTACTCCCTGTGCTTTCTTTCCTGGATCACCGTCAAGTCCCTTTCTCTTTCCTCTTCTTCCAGGTCAAATGTTGTCTAGTGTCTGAGAATAAAGAAGGAATGTCCTGGAAAATGGGTGGATTCTCTGGTACCTCTGACTTCTCAGCTAAGGACAAAAGAGGCTGATGAAAAACATGAATCATTAATCACTTAGTTTTCATTGTTTCAACAGACATTTATTAGCACCATTTATGATCTGAACACTGTGCAACAATTGACTTTGTTCTCTACGAGTATTAGCAGTTGTAAGGAACTGTGTGGTTGGATTAATGACTTGATGGTGAGCAGTGTATAATTGGTCTCATTTTCTTCTTTTGAAAGGCTAATTTTAAAATTTTTTTTAACATGTATCATTCAAATGTCTCATTTACTTAAACCTTCTTGTCCTATTCTAGTTGTGGGTTACTGTCTGAAGGACAGATGCCTTCTTTGCATTTTCTTTTTGTTTAATTAACATTTTTTCATTTATTTTACATATGGAGGACAGTTTCCCCTCCTTCCTCTCCTCCCATTCCCTCCTCACACCACCCCTGCCTTCCATATAATCCCTTTCCCATCCACTCCTCCTGCTCTTGCTTTTAAGTGTGGACATGGATTTGATGATCACTCATATTTTGTCTCCAGTACACTTTTTCAGAAGATTATTATTATTATTATTTTTGCATAAGATCTAGCCAGGATTCACATACTATACACAGTTCCTCTGTCGCAGCTAAGCCACTGAGCTAAGGAATTTGGTACGAATATTGGACAATGTGAACAGACTATGTGTCAGAGCTCATAGGCTGGAAAGGTGAGTGGTTTCATGACTTTGAAAAATCCACTAGGATATTGAACATCCTCAGAAGAACCCATAACCGGAAGCCATGAAGTAAAGTTACTGAGTCTGGGGAGAGGCAGAGCTGCAGAGAACAGTGTTGCATTCTGCAGGAACTGATGCTACTGCTGTGAAAGAGAGGAGATCTGGGTCCTTGAAGTTGGCAGGCCATGACAGCCACTGTGACAGCTTAGGGGCAGGGTCCCTGCAGGCTGATGGGTGGGACCCGCAGAGGGGATGGTTGGGCTGTGTCTCCTCACAGATTGCTTCTTGTTGTTTGGAAGTTCTTTCCTTCTCCAGCTTAACTGAGTCTCCTTCTGCCTCCTCTTCTTCCCCCGACTTGTTTTCTCTCTGAGGGAAGAGCCCTCAACCTGAATTTTAAGTGCTTTATTGTTAATAACCTCTGCCAAAAGCTGTTTAAGTCTTAAAAGCCCTTTGCATGCCTCTCCTGATCACACTCACTTCCTACCTTTTAAGAAGCAATCACACTTATTTGCATTATTTATATTAAGTTCTCCTATGTTGTTTTATAGCACTGCATTCTTGTGTTACTAAAAAGCAATTCAAGGGCTTCTCACTCAGCTGTTCACTCTTCATTATACGCCTACACGCCTGGCTTTCTTACTCTCCTGGTCACTTTGTGTTTATTATTTTCAAGCTCTTAGATGTCCATCATCCTTTGACTGTCTTTGTGGTTGTGTGTGTATGTGTGTATGTGTGTGTGTGTGTGTGTGTGTGTGTGTGTGTGTGCTATTACACAACATTACCCTTTTATCTGATCTTCTAATTCTGAGAAACCACCAAAACTCAAATATTACTTGACAGTCTTTCAGTTATTTTCATTTTCATGAATGGGTTCTTTTTCTTTACTGATCACTAAAGACCTAGCCATGCACTAAAAGGTACAGGGAATGGCTTGCCGTATCTGCTCTTGATGGTGTCCACATCACAATGCTGTTACCATCTGCTGGGAGCTTTCTGCATATCTGGCCCCATGCTATATTTCTAGAATAATCATTAACCTTATTCTCCCTTTACAGTCCAGAACATTGAACCAACTTGCCCAACACTGCACAGTCAATAAGGCCAGGTCTGGATTCTGAAACCTGATTGACTTCCTATCAGGTACTCAAGCATTCTGCATCAATTGTGTAACTCAGATACAATGACTGTATTCTGTTTTTGTTTACAGATGAAGAGAAACACTGAGAGGTTAAATAATTTGTTCAGGACAATACAATGTGTGCCAGAGGTGCCTCCACTCTTAAAGACATGGGAGATTTTGATGGACTGTAGAAGGAGAAAAATCCCAGGACTTACCACGGTCAGGTCGAATCTTCTCACCCCTGGGCAGCCAAGGCTTCCCTATGATGAGGAGCTTCTGGTCTGAATGAAGCCTCCACTTGATCATCACAGGATGAAAACTAAGAGCAAACTGATGGCTGTGCTCCCTTGAAAGCACTGGCATCAGGACTCAGCAGTAGTGTGGATGGGAACGCCACTCTGAACTTCCAAAGTGCTTTGCAACAATGGCATTACCTGGATATGACTAACGTGTTTTGCCTTTGATTTCCGATGAAGAGATGGAAACACAGACAGGTTAAATAATTTAGTCAGGACAATATAATCTGAGCTGAGACTTGAACCAAAGGAGATTGAGTGTCATTTTTCCACATGCACCATATCCCACTACCACCATTCTGCTAGAATCCTGGAAGTTGGTATAATTTTGGTAGCACTGGAGATAGAAAGGAGGTATCCCTGGACTCCCATCCCTTAGGAACAAATGCTCATTAGTTCTGTGAGGACTCTGGGGCCTCTGCCCACAGACAGTTAATTAGCCACTGTTGATAATGATGGTTATGAGTGACGGAGAAGATCTAGAAGAAATCTGTTAGCAGGTTTATTACCTAGTGTTAAATAAAGAGGTTACCATCTGTTCCTCTCTGTCACTGGGCAGTACAATGACATTGTTTCATCTCCGTGAATCTTTTGATTCCCATCCCTTTTCTCTCATGCCATGTCAACCTATTCCATACTCAAGTATCATTTTCATTTCTTTTTTTTTTCTCTTGTTAAAGTATGGCATCAGAAAGGGCTGAGGAGAAAGCATTTTGGGCAATGATTGAAAGACAAGCATGAAAATGTACATTTTGTACCAGAAGCCATGTTAAAAAATATCAGGCACATGCTTGTAATCCCAGTTCTGGGGCGGCAAAGATAGGCAAATCCCTAAGGATTGCTGATCAGCCATCCTGTCTGATCAATACACCATGCCAATGAGAGGTACTGTAGACACTAATTTTGATTTTCAAAGGAGCCCATTGCTGAAAGACTTGAACTTTTAAAAGAGATTGGATATTTTAAAGAGACTGAAATTTTAATGTGTTTGAATTGGTACAGACTGTGGGACTTTAAAAATAATTTTAATATGAGATCTTGGGGATGAATAAGAAAGGAAGGGATGTGGCTTAATAATGATGTGTTTGTGTGTCTAGTTGACAAGAGGTCAGTTGTACTGGCTGGTTTTGTGTGTCAACTTGACACAAGCTAGAGTCATCAGAGAAAGCCTCAGTTGAAGAAATGCCTCAATGACATCCAGTTATAAGGCGTTTTCTAGTTTAGTGATCAGTGGGGGAGGATTTAGCCCATAATGGTTGGTGCCATCCCTGGGCTGCTGGTGCTGGGTTCTATAAGAAAGTGGGCTGAGCAAGCCATGGGAAGCAAGCCAGTAAGCATCCTCCTCCATGGCGTCTGCACCAGCTCCTGCCTACAGGATCCTGCCCTGTTTGCATTCTTGTCCTGACTTCCTTAAGTGATGAACAGCAATGCTCAAGTGTAAGCCCAATAAATCCTTTTCTCCCCAACTTTGTTTGGTCATGGTGTTTCCTCATAGCAACATAAACTCTAACTAAGACAAGTGGCAATAGAATAGTCCCTTAATTTTTTTTCCTGTTCCATGCCAGGTGCCTCTTCTGCCATGAGACAGAGATTTTGGATTTTCCTTTAACAATCATGCTTGGGTTTAGAGAAGAAGAGAGCTATGGCTCCAATTCCAATGCCAGATTTAATTTTTATTTGAATTGGGACCACAAAAAGACCATTTGCCTTTTATGTTTGTACAATGTTGCATGAATCCTAATTGGTTGTAATAAAAACCGGATAGCCAGATATCAGGGTGAAAGTTGGAAGATCAGAGGAGCAGAGCAAGCCACAGCCACCCCTCTTACCTTACCAACTCAGCCTGACAGATCATGAATTCCTGTCTCCTCCTGCCTTACATTCCTTGCTCAGCCCAGCCATATCACTTCCTGTTTCAACCTTCCTAGTGCTGGGATTAAAGGTGTGTGATCCTAAGTGCTGGAATTAAAGGTGTGTGCCAACACTGCCTGGCTCTGTTTCTCTTTTAGACTGGATTAATCTCATATAGCCCAGTGTGGCCTTGAACTCACAGAAATCCAGATGGATCTCTGCCTCCGACTCCTGAGTGCTAGGATTAAAGGTGTGTGCCACCACTGCCTGGCCTCTATGTTTAATCTAGTGACTTGTTCTGTCCTCTGATCTTAAGGCAAATTTTATTTGTTCAAAATATCACCACAGTGCAGATTAGCAAAAACAAGCATTTGGGATGATTTATGAAATTCTAACCTGTTGGAGGTGTGCTATACCATTAGGTCAACTATACTTTTTTTGGGGGGACCTTCATACTTCTTCAGATGTCTCATTGTCCAGTGGTCCTTAGATTCCTTAGTTGGATGCTTTTGTTCTCCTGGAAAGACAAAAACAAAACCCTGCCCCAACCCTAACTTTGGGGAGTTCCTTTTGTGGCAGGTTATATCTTTGTTAAGGTAAAGTGTATTTTGGCAACAGAAAAAGTATTGTCTTTTAATAATAATTTTTATTATACTTGATCAAATGAAAGGTGTTTGTTAGTCTTATAAATTAGTTTCGATAGAATGACCAAGCTGTTTGATGAACTATTGCCTCTCCTAATCAAGAGGTCTCTCCTGTTCAAATTTAATCTTTGTCAGTCTTTTCTTCTCCTGTGGAAATAAAAGCAAACTCTCTTCCT